CTCCATTCCTAAATTCATGGTATCCTCAAATAAGTCTCCCAAAATCACCATGGACCAGAGGCGGACCAGAGGGGTCGCCCAAACTGGGCCTGTAAATTCATCTTATTTGATCACGTTTACCTTAGATAACCGTGCTGACATCACGAGTTATATTTCACCGACAATAATAATAATATGCGCCAATAGCACCCCCACCACGCATCTCCACCGACGGGACATATTTCACCGGAGACACATGCACACACACACGGGCCGGTACCCACGTGGCACGGTGAGAGACCAGGGACACCGCGACCGCACACGCGGATTATCAGCACTGCTCGGAAAACACAGCTGGCAGCACCGGGGCCACGCCTGACGTCAGTGGCGTCGTGCCCCGGGCTGTGACGCCGGCCTCTTGCGCCTGTTCAGGTCCATATCCTCATAAAGAGACCCATAGACTCACATAGACCCGTAGACTCACATAGACCCATGGACTCACATATACCCATAGACTCACATAGACCCATATACTCACATAGACCCATAGACTCACATAGACCCGTAGACTCACATAGACCCGTAGACTCACATAGACCCGTAGACTCACATAGACCCGTAGACTCACATAGACCCGTAGACTCACACGGTGATTGCTACGCACATGGAGACCCTTAGACAACACAAATAAAACTCGCGTAGGCCCGTAAACTGACGCAGACAACGATAGACTCGCAGAGTCTTACGTAGAGATCCTTAAACTCACACTGACAGAGAGACCCACAGAATCCCTCTGCCCCTATTCACATCCAAGCTCCTGAACTTGCTCCTCTCCTCTGCCTGTGACTGACTGCTGATGCAGTCATATTTAGATACGAAGTAAATACACACTGTATTACATTGCGCAGTGTAGACTTGTATAGAAACCCATAGATTCCCACACAGAACCATAAACTCCCTGAGAGATCCAAAGACTCACAAAGAGATCCATAGATTCAAATAGAGGCCAACAAACTAACATTGGGAAACAGAAAATGCACATGAAAGCCACAGACTCACATTCTATAAAACTCATAAAATCGCATTAGGAACCACAGATTCAAACAGCAACCCAGAGACTCACATAGAGCTCCAGACTCATGACCACTGTTCAAGTCCAGGCGACAAAATAATCATGAACACGGTCACATTTAGATGCGATGTAAATACACATTTTAACGTAGTGTGTTCACAGTAATGGCAGAGAACTCAGCACGGCACGGTTTCAAATCCAACCGCAACACACAATCTATGTCTAACTCAGATGAACACACACCACTTGTCTCACCGTTAATCCCAACACACCACCTGAGCGTGAATAACACTGCCACAACACACCACCAACTGTGTGTATTGCACTCAAACCACAACACCCACTTCTCGAGCCGCAACACACCACTTGTGTGCGAATAACTTCAGCCACAACACACCACCACCTGTCTGTGCCACATCGCAACCATCGCAAGTTACCAGTTTCAGGCTGAGCGGACATAGAGGAGGTCTTCTCCAGCTACAAGAGTGCCTGGGAAGGGGACCCAGGAGTGGCGGCTCGCGTCCCGTTAGGCGGTGTGTGCGCACACACACACGCACGCGCGCGCACGCACGCGCGCACATTCCTGGCAGAACACAACACTGAGCACATCGCCTCTCGCTCGCTCAGCGCATCGTGACGTCACCGTGGATCCAACGTCTCACCACGACACCACGCCGCTAGCCGTGTCAGTCAGAGCCGATCCACCACACAGCTGCCTATCCCCCCGAGTCCTTACCCCCAACTGGCACCAGGTCCCCTGCCTCTGTGGGTCCCCTGCCTCTGTGGGTCCCTGCCTGGGTCCCCTGCCTCTGTGGGTCCCCTGCCTCTGTGGGTCCCCTGCCTCTGTGGGTCCCCTGCCTCTGTGGGTCCCCTGCCTCTGTGGGTCCCCTGCCTCTGTGGGTCCCCTGCCTCTGTGGGTCCCCTGCCTCTGTGGGTCCCCTGCCTCTGTGGGTCCCCTGCCTCTGTGGGTCCCCTGCCTCTGTGGGTCCACCTGTATTACGGGGTCTCGTGACCTCACCATTCCCCCGTCCTCCTGCTTTGGTGGGTACACTGCCTCCATCGCTCTGTGTATTTGAAACATGTCCCAGTCTGTTGACATTCTAAGTGCTGTAATCACCCGAAATCCACTTTGGAGCTGTTGCTTACATTTTTCACCCAACTTCATGGGTTATGTTGATTCATGTTTGTGCAGTGCTTTTTGCCCCGATTTGTATTTGTTTCGTTGTTATAGTTAATTCCTGTTATTTCTGCTGTCATTTCATTGTCTCAGGTCACTCTTGCAAATGAGAGACCTGGCCTCCTCCAGAATTCCCCGTCCTTTCCCCTGCCTCACGTCCCCCCCCCCCCCCCCCCATCTTCATAGATCCCCTGGGCCTCACAGTTCCCGTGTCTTCACCGAGACCCCCGAGTTCCCCTGGCCCCTGCCAAGTCTGCGCTTGCGTGGAGCTCTCGTGGATCCCAGGTCTTCCTAGATCCCCTGTCTTGTGATGCCTTGCTTCCATGGGAGAGGCAACTCGAGTCGACTCAACACGACTCAAGTTGGCATGAGTTGAGTTGATTTCTTCACACAACTCAGGTTGAAGAACAAATCAAGTTGCTTATAAAAAAAGCGGTGTCTTCATAATTTGCCGAGTAACCCGAGCCATGGCGTGAGGTGGGAAGGGCTGGCCCAGAAACACTTCCTAGTAAGACTTTCCAGGAAATACCTGTGAATAAAAGGTCCAGGATTGCGTTGCCGACAATGTTTAATTAAACATAAATGGAAAAGTTCCCTCTCTCTCCAACTGACTGAACTTGACACATTTGTTGACGTATTTCCGCTCAGCCCAAGTTCTGACGTGGGCCCCAAAATCCGCCCACAGAATTTAGACACTGTTCCGAAATTGAGCCGAGTGGAAACACAGCACTGATGGGGGGGGGGGGGGATTCACACTGCTGGGCATTCCTGTCCTCAAGGCAAATTAATATTTTCATCATCATCCATGAATAATCCACTGCTGGATGACAGTGTCCCTAAGCTACCACCCCGTTTAATGATCCTGCAATGTAATAATCCACCCAGCACCTGCACAGGAGCCAATTCCATCGCTCCATCTTCCCTAGTCCACGTCCTCTCGGACGCGTTTCATTTCTTGGCTGCCGCTCCATTATTATTCTTGCCCGTCCGCCATCGTCCCTTCTAGCCATGACGAGTCCTACCCCCCCCCCCCCCCCAAAGCCTTTTCCTCACAGTTTGAATGATGCCATTAACCGTATGTTAATGACATCATCCGTGGAAACGTGGTTTCCATGTTAATAACATCGTTCAAACTGTTTGCAAGCGTAAGAGGGTGTGAGCAGAACACGTTGCTAGGAGTGGGCCGCCAAGGGATGGAATTCGACAATTATTCTCCGTCTCGTTTTGTGCAGCTCCGTCTGCTCCAGGCCTGCCAACACTGCTGCACGTGGCGCACCTGCTCACGACCCCATCCTCAACAGACCCCTTTTTCTGGGGGCCGAAGAGAACTTTGAAATTCCTTTGGCGGGCAACACTAACAACAGCAACCGCCATTAACCGCGAAGGAGCGGTGACGTCACCACAGCGCTTGTGCCAGGCTAGGTGCACTTTCAGGACATGGTGCTTAGTGTGGAAAGCTCGCTCGCTGGCACAAGGTCACGGGAGACCCCAGGCAGTTGCACCACCTGTCCTCCCTTACTCCGGCAGGCAACAACCACACATTCACCCACACTTTAGCGATTTAAAATAGCAAAGCAAAAACAATTGCGGCTCCCTCCAACTGCACTCATGCAATGCTTGCGCCTGCTTTCCTCCAACACGTTGTTGAAAATTCTTAATTGGTTTCTTTTGCATGAGATCGTGTTGGAATAATCCCAATTCGTTAAACATAACCCTCCACCCAGCGATAGAGCCAATCAAATCAAGGTGTCACGTGGGCACATTTGTTAAGTCATCTGGTTAATTAGCAACAGCGGAGGGTAATGCCGAAAGGCAACCTAAATATTGGACAATTTATATACTGTACAATTTAAATGTGGCTGATGCCGGGTCGCAGCCCTTTATTAAAGACACACAGCTAAAATGTTTTCAGGGATGAATACACATTATCCTCAGGCGGTGTCAAAGAGTTAGGCCTCGTGTGTTGGTGGGTCGTGATAAGTGTGGTCGTGTGTTGTTGCTTGTGGCCCGCGGGCCGTAGGCTCTGCAGCCCTGCTGCTCCTTGTGTAGGTACAACAGATTATTGAACTTCTATCGCATCGTACGGAGCCAACCGCGCTAATCGGAGGGGCTCTCGACATGCACACACGGCAGCGAGAACGTCCCTGGTCGAAACACCACCGTACGCGGTTCATCTGAACCGATGCAATTCGCAAGGCACACATTAGCAAGGAGACATTGACTGGTGCATGCCCCGACATGCAGTGTTGTGCATCAAGTGAAGATGCAACCTCCGGACACGTTACTGTCTTTTTATTTTTGGGTCAATAAAATGTGTCGTAAACCCTCCTCCACCCGACACAGCCAACTTACAAAGTATACGCAAGGCCCAAGGCTCCCAGCAGCCCGTCCCTGCACAATTGTCAAATGTGTGTGGATCGCTCTGCAACATCAACATTGGGGCGTGTGTACGTCACGTGACAACTTGTGTCGGGTGGAGGAGGGTTTACGACACGCATTTATTTTCGCGATAGGACCCAACACTCAATTACGAATCATAACACTGGTCGCCCAAGCGTGCACGTGTTACACGGAGCACGAACCGACTGGGGTTCACACAATTACACACCGATGGGCAACACACGGAGCCGCACGGCACGACGTGGGGCCGCGTGGAGTCGCAACAAGGGGGCTCACGAAGCCACACGGAGCCCTTGTAGAGCCACGTGAAAGTACACAAAGACATAAGACAACAGAGACCCATCCACGACACGGAGCCACGCGGAGCCGCACCTCAGGTCCCCGGGCAGGCTGGGGTCGTCTCCCACAACCGAGTCCATGGCTCCGCGTATCCTGCACCTCCGTCTTCCTCCCTCCCATCAAACTCCAGAGACGGTGATGAATGTTTCTTTTTATAGATGACGAGAGGCGCAGAGCGATTCCGGCTCGGAGTTGAGTGAGAGGCGAGAAGTTTTGTTTACGGCGAGTGGCGGCTGCGCTGAGGCAGCTGCGCGGGAGACGGAATCGGGCCCCGTTCAAACGGCGCCATTTGCGCGAGCAGCACGACGGGAGCGAGACCACGCCCCCTTCGCGTCTGGCCACGCCCCCACCATAGCTGGCCACGCCCCCTTTCCGGTTGGCCACACCCCACCCCCTGCAACTGTCCGCGGCCGTTGCTTGCAGTCCTTTCACCACGCACTGGCCACGCCCCCTAAAGTAGACCACACCCCTTTGACAGTTGGCCACGCCCCTCAGCGGCATGTGGCTGTTGTGTTGCCTTTTCTCGATTTGAAGCTTTCGTGACTGCAAGGATTCATACTCTCAGTTCTTTCGGTAAAGTCACGTAGGTAAAAAAATAAAATTAAAATTAATATTTTATTTTTATTAATTTGAATTTCATTTTTTTACCTACGTGACTTTACCGAAAGAACTGAGAGTATGTTGTGTTGTCGTTTGTGTTGAGTTGTTGTTTGTGGTTGTTGAGTTGTTTGTGCTTGCACATCATTGCCAACGCAGGCTCGCCAGACGAGGCGTTTACCGGACTCGCCCTGACCCCGCCCTCCTCGCCCTGACCCCGCCCTCCTCGCCCTGACCCCGCCCATCCACGACGTCCGTCATGGACACGCCCCCTCACTCCCTCCTCGGCAGCGAATCAGGAAGTCGCGCCCAGCCAGGCCACGCCCCCATGGCTGGCCACGCCTCTAACGAGACGAGAGGAGCGAATCTCGATTTGAAGTTTTCGTGACTGCAGGGATCACGTGACTTTACCGAAAGAACCAAAGAGTAAGAGGAGCGAAGTAACAGTTCTTCAACTTCGTTGTCTGCGTCGGGTGGAGGAGGGTGCACGACTCACATTTTACTTAACGTGACCTGACCCAATTATAAAGATCACCGCGTTGGCTGTTTAGAGAAGTGAGTGGCTTTGGGCCGGACACGTGACGGCTCAGCGGGGACGGTGGCCGCTAACGACAGAGTGGCAGCCAAAGCGGAGAGACACGGAGGTCACGCTCGAGGGGGCGCTCACGGCGGAGACGGAGCCATGGAATCAGCTCGCGGGCAGCAGCGAGACGCGTGGCAACATCGCGAGACTGCGAGAGGTGTCGACGGCTTGGGGTGGCCTTCACCCAGCAGTGGATAGACCATCGCCGATGATGATTGGTGATGTGGAGGACACGAAACGGAGTTCTTGACGTGGTTCGCTCCTCCCGGCGTGGTCACCCGGGGCAGTGGCGCCCTCTGGCGGCCGCCGAGTGAACAGCAACGGGGCTCGAACCGGGACGCATTCACCTCCGAGGTCTCTCTTGAGCCGGCCGACAGGACACGGAATCCCGCCCCCCCACATTACACGCTTCTCACTCGTATCGTGTGCGGTCTGGTGTCCTCTGCAGCAACAACCTACCTGCTGTACTGCTATCGCAGGTGGTCGCAGTTATCACGTGTGCGAGCGTTAATGCGGTCAGTCGCGGTACGGGGGTCACTTAGCAACGAGATCATCATCATCATCAGTGACACACGCAGCAGTCGGCGATATCATACGCAGCAGCAGCGTTATCATAATCACATACATCACAAGCATCATCATAAGCAGCAGCAGCAGCAGCGAAATGATAATAATCACAGGCATCAGCAGTAGCATCAGCATTCATTGCGGGAAAATGAGCAGCCCTGTTTCGCACAAATGTCAACATTGGGTCATCCTTTAGATGTCCTGGCCCCCGCCATATGAATGTGGAATCGCAGCCAATCGCATTTCCAGTCGTTTCCCTGGTAGGTTGACCCTACCGGAGGTTGATGAGTCATTTGCAGAGAGAGCGTGGCTCGGGGAAGAGGCGGGGATATCCATGAAGGGAAGAACTGTGAAGACTCAGGAAGGACCGTGAAGAGCCATGAAGGGTAACGAAGGGTTGGGAAGGGCAGGGAAGGAACAGGGAAATTCGGGAAGATCCGGGAATGCGGTCCGTAAGGCGTAATGTAGGGACTTTATTGGCTTCACCTCACGTGTACAGCGCCGTTACACCGCGGACGGAGAGAACGGGCTGTAACCCATCGAGATCATCATCATCACGGGCACCGTCATCACCCCGCTTATTGCCATCATCATTATGAAACATCACATACATCACATACATCACCTTCACAGATATCGTCACGAACATCATCAGCATACATCCTCATCAGATACATCAGCAGCATCATCACAGTTATCATCATCATCACATGCGTCACCATTATTATAAGACATCATCATCATCATTACTACCGCATTATCACATACATTAGCATAATTAACAATGACATCACATACATCATCATTATCACCGATATCATCATTACACACACCATGACAGGTATCATCAGGGTCATCATCACAAGCACCATTATCATCTTCACTATCATCATCACAAGCACCATGATCATCTTCACTATCATCATCACAAGTACCATGATCATCTTCACTATCATCATCACAAGCACCATGGTCATCTTCACTGTCATCATCACAAGTACCATCATCATCTTCACTATCATCATCACAAGCACCATGATCATCTTCACTATCATCATCACAAGTACCATGATCATCTTCACTATCATCATCACAAGTACCATGATCATCTTCACTATCATCATCACAAGTACCATGATCATCTTCACTATCATCATCACAAGTACCATGATCATCTTCACTATCATCATCACAAGTGAGGGTCAGCTTTGAGTTTCTTATTAAAGGTCAAGTCATACAAAAATATTCATCATAAACAACAATAAACAACAGCATCAAGAGTTAAATCAATAGTACGGAGTAAACATCTGTACATGGTCCTCTTCTCGGTGGAGCTCGCCTGGACTTTGTTGAAACCTCAGAGAGGGGGCGTCTTAGGGACTCTTGGGGGGGGGGGGGGGCGCAGAGATTTCTCGGGGTCCCTCTGCGTGTCCGGGAGGGGGGTGGGCGGCTCCTTCCCTCTGCAGGCGAGACAGAGGCGCCCCCATCAGCGCACTCAACTCATCTCCTCTCGACTTGGTGTGGCACCGGACGGAAGGGATCGCATTCCCGTCAGGTTGTGCGTTGGGTTTGCCATGAGGGCTTCTATGTCGTTGTCATCATCGGCCATGTTGTGTCCTCTGCCGGATGAAGGCCTGCTCAAGCCATCACCGCCTCTCACCATCCTCACGATGCAGCAATCCATTGAGCACCTCACCACGGACTGATTTCGTCGCTCCGTTTCCTCGGTGAACGTCCCCTCGAACGCATTCCATTCCTTGGCCGGATTACTAAAGTGTGCGTGGTTGGGCAACGACAATCGATAATGTGAGGGATGGGACACTCTTTCCCCCAGTCACAGACTCACACAGAGACACATGGACTCACATGGAGACCCGCAGACTCACACAGAGACTCCTTAATTCTCTAACGAATCTCCTCTGGCCGTCCACTCCACCCCATGGGTGGATGCATGACTGGTGGGATAGGAGGTTGGCTGGCTGGATGGCTGACTGCATGGGGAGTTTCCTGGTTGCTTGGTAGCTTAGTGGGCACCTGTTGCCTGGTTGCCTGGTTGCTTGGCTGCCTGTCTGTCCGGTTGTCCTCCGAGTTGACCCCTGGTAGCTCGGTTGCCCGGTTTCCTAGTTGCCGGTTGCTTGCTTGTCTGGTGTTGTCGTCAGCTGATGGTAGACACCTGCTCGTTTAGCTCCCCAGTTGTCCACCTGTCTCCCTGGTTGTCCCCTGGTCACCCAGTGTCTCTGACACTTGATTGGACACGTGGTCACCCAGTGTCTCTGACACTTGATTGGACACGTGGTCACCCAGTGTCTCTGACACTTGATTGGACACGTGGTCACCCAGTGTCTCTGACAATTGATTGGACACGTGGTCACCCAGTGTCTCTGACACTTGATTGGACACGTGGTCACCCAGTGTCTCTGACACTTGATTGGACACGTGGTCACCCAGTGTCTCTGACACTTGATTGGACACGTGGTCACCCAGTGTCTCTGATACTTGATTGGACACGTGGTCACCCAGTGTCTCTGACACTTGATTGGACACGTGGTCACCCAGTGTCTCTGACACTTGATTGAACACGTGGTCACCCAGTGTCTCTGACACTTGATTGGACACGTGATCACCCAGTTGTCCACCTGTCCATCCGTAATGTTCTTGGTTGCCTGGTTGGTGTGGCTGTCAAAGTAATTGTCCACCTGCTTGTTTGGCTGCCTGTCTCTGTCTGTGTCTGTCTTCTCAATTGTCCATGTGCCCTCCCGGTTGTCCATCTGTCTGTCCCCCAGTTTCCCCAGCAGCCCGGTCGTCCGCCCGGCGCGCTGTCAGTTGACGGTGGACACCTGGTTGCGCTGCAGGCTGTACTCCTTGGCCTTGAGGCGCAGGCTCGCGATGCTGCTCGCCATGTGCACCCCAGGGCCCGGGCCGCTGACCGCGCCGCCAGAGCTGTACGCGGACATGGCCCTGAGACGCGGAGACACGCGGTGAGACGACCGCGCGGGGACACGGGGACACGCGGGGACACGCAGGGACATGGGAATGAGGTATGCAGGGAAGGGAGGCGTACAGTAATAGGGTGGAGGGAGCGATGGATGGAGAGAAGGGAAGGATGGATATAGGGTTGCAGTGGAGATGGATGTAGGGAGGGAGTTGGGGAGTGAGTGGGTCAGTGAGGGAGGTGGTAGATGAATGGGGGAGGGATGAATGTAGGGAATGAGTGAGTTGGTGAGTGAGCAATGGAGGTGGTGGGGATAGGGTAAGAATGGGATCTCTCACCCCCCACCCCACTCCCCCTCCCCCCCGCGATACCCGTAGGATGCGGCCGAGGCGGGAGGCCAGGAGAGGAAGTCGGGCGCCGCGAGGGGCGCAGGCCGGGCGGCCATCGGCTGCTCGACGGCGGCCTCGCCGCTCGCGGCAAACACGCGGCCTGCGCTGCGCGTGGCCAGCAGCGCGCGCTCGTTCCGCCGGAACTTGGCGCGGCGGTTCTGGAACCACACCTGGGGAATACACACACACACACACCTGAGCCACGTAGAGACACACACACACGTGGAGACACACACACGCGTGGAGACACACACACGCGTGGAGACACACACGCGTGGAGACACACACACGCGTGGAGACACACACACGCGTGGAGACACACACACGCGTGGAGACACACACACGCGTGGAGACACACACACGCGTGGAGACACACACACGCGGAGACACACACACACGCGGAGACACACACACACGCGGAGACACACACACACGCGGAGACACACACACACGCGGAGACACACACACACGCGGAGACACACACACGCGGAGACACACACACACGCGGAGACACACACACACGCGGAGACACACACACACGCGGAGACACACACACACGTGGAGACACACACACACGTGGAGACACACACACGCGTGGAGACACACACACGCGTGGAGACACACACACGCGTGGAGACACACACACGCGTGGAGACACACACACGCGTGGAGACACACACACGCGTGGAGACACACACACGCGTGGAGACACACACACGCGCGGAGACACACACACGCGCGGAGACACACACACGCGCGGAGACACACACACACGCGGAGACACACACACACGCGGAGACACACACACGCGGAGACACACACACGCGGAGACACACACACGCGGAGACACACACACACGTGGAGACACACACACGTGGAGACACACACACGTGGAGACACACACACGCGGAGACACACACACACGCGGAGACACACACACACGCGGAGACACACACACACGCGGAGACACACACACACGCGGAGACACACACACACGCGGAGACCACCACACACACGCGGAGACACACACACGCGCGGAGACACACACACGCGCGGAGACACACACACGCGCGGAGACACACACACGCGCGGAGACACACACACGCGCGGAGACACACACACGCGCGGAGACACACACACACGCGGACACACACACACACGTGGAGACACACACACACGTGGAGACACACACACGTGGAGATACACACACGTGGAGACACACACACACGTGGAGACACACACACACGCGGAGACACACACACACGCGGAGACACACACACGTGGAGACACACACACACGTGGAGACACACACACACGTGGACACACACACACACGTGGAGACACACACACACGTGGAGACACACAACACACGTGGAGACACCCACACAACACGTGGAGACACACACCACCACGTGGAGACACACAGACACACGTGGAGGACACACACACACGTGGAGACACACACACACGTGGAGACACACAGACACACGTGGAGACACACACGTGGAGACACACACACGTGGAGACACACACACACGTGGAGACACACACACACGTGGAGACACACCACGTGGAGACACACACACGTGGAGATACACACACACGTGGAGACACACACACGTGGAGACACACACACGTGGAGACACACACACGTGGAGATACACACACACGTGGAGACACACACACGTGGAGACACACACGTGGAGACACACAGACACACGTGGAGACACACACGTGGAGACACACACACGTGGAGACACACACACGTGGAGACACACACACGTGGAGACACACACACACGTGGAGACACACCACACGTGGACACACACACGTGGAGACACACACACACGTGGAGACACACACACACGTGGAGACACACACACACGTGGAGACACATACACGTGGAGACACACACACACGTGGAGACACACACACGTGGAGACACACACACGTGGAGACACACACACACACACGTGGAGACACACACACACGTGGAGACACACACACACACGTGGAGACACACACACGTGGAGACACACACACGTGGAGACACCACACACGTGGAGACACACACACGTGGAGATACACCCACACGTGGAGATACACACACACGTGGAGGACACACACACGTGGAGACACACACACGTGGAGACACACAACGTGGAGACACACACACGTGGAGACACACACACACGTGGAGACACACACACACGTGGAGACACACACACACGCGGAGATACACACACACGCTGGAGACACACACACGTGGAGACACACACACGCGGAGACACACACACGTCGGAGACACACACACACGTGGAGACACACACACACGTGGAGACACACACACACGTGGAGACACACACACGTGGAGACACACACACACGTGGAGACACACACACACGTGGAGACACACACACGTGGAGACACACACACGTGGAGACACACACACACGTGGAGACACACACACGTGGAGACACACACACACGGAGACACACACACACGCGGAGACACACACACACGCGGAGACACACACACACGTGGAGACACACACACGTGGAGACACACACACACGCGGAGACACACACACGTGGAGACACACACACACGTGGAGACACACACACGTGGAGACACACACACACGTGGAGACACACACACACGCGGAGACACACACACACGCGGAGACACACACACACGCGGAGACACACACACACGCGGAGACACACACACACGCGGAGACACACACACACGTGGAGACACACACACACGTGGAGACACACACACACGTGGAGACACACACACACGTGGAGATACACACACACGCGGACACACACACACGTGGAGACACACACACGTGGAAACACACACACGCGGAGACACACACACGTGGAGACACACACACACGTGGAGACACACACACGTGGAACACACACACGCGGAGATACACACACACGCGGACACACACACACGTGGAGACACACACACGTGGAAACACACACACGTGGAGACACACACACGTGGAGACACACACACGCGGAGACACACACACGCAGAGATACACACACACGTGGAGACACACACACGTGCGCCACATGGAGACAACAGCCGCCATTCGCCACTAAGGGGCCGTCCATAAATGACGTCACGCGATTTTATACGATTTTTGACCCCCCCCCCTCGTCACACGGCGTAACAAAAAGTCAGACCCCCCCTCAAATATTACGTCACAAAGCTCTGCCCCTCCCCCAAAAAAAACATGCTTCAAATCGCTATAAACTATTGTCATTGTAGTGCGTTTTTAATGTGCCGCTGCACTCTGATGTTGTAGGAGAAAACATTTATCAAAAAGTCAATTTAATTAAGTAGAACGTGTTGTCTATATTTATTTAAAGTTGCACATTTTGATGTGACGTCACATTTCTCAAACCCCCTCCCCTCGTCACACATCGTCACAAATGTCTGACCCCCCCCCCCCCCTAGGTGCGTGACGTCCTTTATGGATGGCCCCTAAGTGGCAGTGATGTCACCACGGCGCCTGTGCCAGGCCAGGTGCACTTTGAGGCCACGTGAAGAATCGAAGGCTCGCTGCTGACAGGTCACGGGACGGACCCAGGTGCCATGGTTTGACTGACCGTGATGACTGGCAGATGTATCACCTATGCTCCTTCCTACCCCCCCTGCCCCCTTTCTCGTCACCCCCCCCTCCCTCTACCCCCCCCCCAACCTGCACGCGCGCCTCGCTGAGGTTGACGCGCCGCGCCAGCTCCTCGCGCACGAATGCGTCCGGGTAGTGCGTGCGCTCGAACACGCGCTCCAGCGCCGCGAGCTGCGCGCTGTTGAACGTCGTGCGGTTCCGCCGCTGCTTGCGTCGCCTCTTGGCCTGCTCCGAGCCCAGGGCCTCACCTGGAGGCCAGGGCAGAGGGAGGTGGGGAGGGGGGTACAGAGAGAGAGGTGGGGGGGAGTGCAGAGAGAGAGAGGTGGGGGGTGCAGAGAGATGGTGGTATAAAAAGAGGGCAGAGAGAAGGGACGTTTCGCGTGTTAACATCCATGCGAATGCTGACCAGAAGCAACACAAGAGCATCGTTTAGCCGTATAAGGTAGACATCTTGAACAGAGAAGGGGGAGGGGATAGTGGGAGTTGAGGTCCGGCATCAGTGAAGCCACGACACTCAGCTCTGATTCACTGGCTCAACATCACTCAGCACTCACTCCACGCCCACTCAAGAACAACACGGTACCACTCGGAAGTACGTAGAGACGCATCAGCAACCCACTTCACTGATTTACTTCGATTCATAAGTTTGCTCATTTATCCACGACACGCCCACTGAGTCAAGGGACTATCGTTTTTCAGGAGGCTCCTGCTGCTACGTAGTTTTTGTTTATTCGATTTCAGCCAATTCATGGCGAGTCGTGTTTATTATTATTATTATTCACGTGGGGAGGAAACCGGAGCACCCGCAGATAACCGCATGCCTTGAGCGAGGGGGAAACACTGTATCCCCGTACAGATGAAATAAACACATGTCGATGATCCCACTTGCTGTACCGCCTTGTCCTGGCGAGCGAGGCTACGGCTCCTCCTCTACGCCCACCCACGTGAAGGGGGTGTCACACCCCGTCTGTGTGTGATCCACCAACCCTCCAGCACGCTGGGTTACACAGACCACGTGCAGCAGCGTGGGCCACCACCACCTCCCGGCTAGCCACCTCCCGAGCCCCGCAGAGCCCCTAGGGAACAAAGATCTCTGCGTAAGACGCCGACCCCTCGCCTGGCGATACATCAGCCGCCACCTATCCACTGCTGGGTGAAGACCTCCCCGAGCAGTCTGTGTCGCCGTCACGCGATGCCACCGTCCAGCAGGCTTCTCGCACAGCGCTCCATCTCCACGCTGCCTTCACCCCCTGTTCCGTTATCATTGTTTGAATGCGAGTCGAAGAAGTAAAGTCAGAGTGACTTCCTACTCGCACGGTGCTCATCTCGCGCTGACAGCCCTGCAGAGCAAGTGGTGGACATTCCACATTCATATGGCGGGGGGTGATGGAGTCTCTCCAAAGGACCACCACTTGATGTTTCCCACAAAATGGTATGTATTTTACCGACCCCCGGAAGGAAAGACTGGGTGATGGTGGGCTGAGTCAACCCATGCCTCCACCAGGAATTTAACTCCCAAACATTTTCTGATCGAGGGCGCCGAGTGGCCCTCGACACAGCGGCCACTGCCGTCGACGCGCCACCTGCCACGCTACACGAAGCTCAGGCGCGCTCATAGCTAACACGACAACAGCGACAATGGTCACAATAGCCGATGTTAGAGCTGCTGTGTGATCATCAAGGTTACAGCTATTACAATACTGGCACGTGGCCGCGTGGACACGTGATGGATGGAGTGAGCGGCGAGCAGCGGCACGTGTTTGGACGGGGGGGGCAGGGCGGGAGGGGGGAGGGGGCTGGGGGGCAGAGGCGGGAGGCGGGGGGAGCAAGGGAGACTAAACTAGATACGAGGTACTGTATACGATTCATCATCATGGGCCATGGTTTATCCACTGCTGGACGAAGACCTTCCCCCGCCGCCGCGATCCGCAACTGGAAGTTAATTTACCATAAGCAGGAACACATCCACGAGGAGTGACAGCCCAGATTTTTCTACCGCCACGAGTTTACGTACGGTCACTGCCGAGAGCGTAACGAGTCTATGGATATTCTCGCTGTGCAAGCCCATGGGTATCTGTGTGATTCCGTGGGTCTCCTTGTGAGTCTATGTGTCTCTATGTGAGTCGGTGGGTCTCTATGTGTCTCTATGTGTCTCTATGCGAATCGGTGAGTCTATGCGAATCGGTGAGTCTCTATGCGAGTCGGTGGTGACCGGGCTGAAGACCATCAAGCCGCTACACATGGTATGTATGTTGAACTTCCTTCGCACCGTGTGTCGCCAACCGTGCCGATGGGAGGCGAGGGTACTCGCTGTGCTTGGGACTGCGATCTGGATGCGATCCGAGGTTCCCAGCGGAGCCGGCTCCGCGGCTCTGCCCTCGGAGCTCTTTCCTCGCCCTGGAACCCGCTCCACCCCGCGATGTTATCACTCCGTGCCTGTCACCATTCTCCGCTCTTCCGAGTCGTGTCGTGGCTAGCGCACTGTGGGGAGTGGTGGCACAGTGGTCGAATGTTTGAGCCGTTACCGAGCCTCCTCTAGGTCGATTCAGCCTTAAATGAGGATTTGGTGGGTTATGCAATCATCGGCGCTGGGAAGACAAAGGCGGCCGGGCATGGTTCTGGCCAGGGGAGCCTCGCTGAGTCTCGGGACTCTCTCTCGGGAGGGTCCTGCCCGGGTTTCGCAGCCGGGGGCGACGTCGCTGCTTCTGCTGTAGCAGCAGCAGCAGCAGCTGAGCCGCGTTCACTCTGCAACGGGGCCTTCTTCTAAGCACTCCGAGCCCAAGGCTCTGTCCCTGCAGGAGTCATCGGACTTGTGCCACCGCGCAGCTCCCAGGCGTTGAAGGTCGTTGCGTCGCTAATGAACAAGACGACAGAGTCGTGAGCGATGCACTCGCCTCTTCAAAGTGGCCTTCGCCCCCGCATCGTCCTGCCGTTGAGCCCGCAGGTTCGGTTTGCTGCCTGCTTCCCTTACACGGTGGCGCAGTGGGATCTCCAGATTAAACGCGCCTTACAAATGTATACAATTATATATTATTCTTCAAATCCTGATGATACATCATTATTAGTATTAGGACGGTGGAGCGGTGGTGCACAGGCGGTGTCTGTAGTCGTGTCGCCGCTGGGTGGGCTCGCTGTGCGCGCTCCACCGCCGTGAGGCCACGTCACGACGCGTCGGCCCCAGCGCTGGGCTGTCTCAAGTCGTGGAGGAGGCGAGGGAGGGATGAGAAGGTCGGGAGAGGAGGTGAGAGGGAGGGGAGGTGAGAGGGCGTGCGTAAGGGAGTGAGTGGGATTGTGAGTTTGTGAGTGGGTTAGTGAGTGGGAGAGTGAGTTTGTGAGTGGGTTGGTGAGTGAGAGAGGGAGTTTGTGAGTGGGTTGGTGAGTGGGAGAGGGAGTTTGTGAGTGGGTTGGTGAGTGGGAGAGGGAGTTTGTGAGTGGGTTGGTGAGTGGGAGAGTGAGTTTGTGAGTGGGTTGGTGAGTGGGAGAGTGAGTTTTGAGTGGGTTGGTGAGTGGGAGAGTGAGTTTGTGAGTGGGTTGGTGAGTGGGAGAGTGAGTTTGTGAGTGGGTTGGTGAGTGGGAGAGTGAGTTTGTGAGTGGGTTGGTGAGTGGGAGAGTGAGTTTGTGAGTGGGTTGGTGAGTGGGAGAGTGAGTTTGTGAGTGGGTTGGTGAGTGAGTGAGGAGGAGGAGGGGAGTGAGTGAGGAGGAGGGGAGTGAGTGAGTGAGGAGGGGAGTAAGGAAGTGAGTGAGTAGGGGAGTGAGTGAGTGAGTGAGGAGGGGAGTGAGTGAGTGAGTGACGAGGGGAGTGAGTGAGTGAGTGACGAGGGGAGTGAGTGAGGAGGAGAGGAGTGAGTGAGGAGGGGAGTGAGTGAGGAGGAGGCGAGTGAGTAGAGGGGTGAGTGAGTGAGTGAGGAGGAGGGAAGTCAGTGAGTGAGGAGGAGGGGAGTGAGTGAGTGAGGAGGAGGGGAGTGAGTGAGTGAGGAGGGGAGTAAGGAAGTGAGTGAGGAGGGGAGTGAGTGAGTGAGTAGAGGGGAGTGAGTGAGGAGGAGGGGAGTGAGTGAGTGAGTAGAGGGGTGAATGAGCGAGTGAGGAGGGGAGTGAGTGAGTGAGGAGGGGAGTAAGGAAGTGAGTGAGGAGGGGAGTAAGTGAGGAGGAGGGGAGTGAGTGAGTGAGTAGAGGGGTGAATGAGCGAGTGAGGAGGGGAGTAAGGAAGTGAGTGAGGAGGGGAGTGAGTGAGTGAGTAGAGGGGAGTGAGTGAGGAGGAGGGGAGTGAGTGAGTGAGTAGAGGGGTGAGTGAGCGAGTGAGGAGGGGAGTAAGTGAGTGAGTAGAGGGGTGAGTGAGCGAGTGAGCAGGGGAGTGAGCGAGTGAGCAGAGGGGAGTGAGTGAGGAGGGGAGTGAGCGAGTGAGCAGAGGGGTGAGTGAGCGAGTGAGGAGGGGAGTGAGCGAGTGAGTAGAGGAGAGTGAGTGAGGAGGAGGGGAGTGAGTGAGTGAGTAGAGGGGTGAGTGAGCGAGTGAGGAGGGGAGTGAGTGAGTGAGTAGAGGGGTGAGTGAGTGAGAAGGGGAGTGAGTGAGTAGAGGGGTGAGTGAGCGAGTGAGGAGGGGAGTGAGTGAGCGAATGAGGAGGGGAGTGAGTGAGTGAGTAGAGGGGTGAGTGAGTGAGGAGGGGAGTGAGTGAGTAGAGGGGTGAGTGAGCGAGTGAGGAGGGGAGTGAGGAGGAGGGGAGTGAGGAGGAGGGGGGGGGCTTGCGTGAGAAGTGTTGCCGCCTCGGCTGGTCCCGGGGTGACTTCCCGGCGCCTTCCCACATCTGGTACCCGCTAGCCTGTCTGCCCGCCAGCCCCGCCCCTCCCCCGCTCCCAGCGCCAGCCCCGCCCCTCCCCCGCGCTCACACTCGGCCCCGCCCCTACCCCCACGCCTGGGGAGGCGATTCTCTGACCCAAGGGGAGGGGTCGTGGTTGATGGGGGGGAGGGAGGGGGGATGCCCCCCACCCAAACCTACGTCACAGTGACCACCAGCACGCGCGTGTCGCTGTGGACGTCGACGCGCTGGGTGTGGGGTGAAGTGCGGCTGCTCCCAGACGCCTGGCTGGCGTGGAAGAGTAGACCAAGTGCACTCGCGAGGCTGCGCCTTTAACTTACAACTTTACGCGCAGACACCCGCAAATAAAGACAAAGATGCCCCGTGTGGCCTTGAACAGACTGTTGGGGCAAGTGCTGTTAGCCAGAACCTATGAAGGCCGGCACGGCACACCAGGG